ACTTCTGTCAACTTCTTAAAGGGAAAATCTGTAATATGTAGGGTCTGACTACCCAGCTACCCCTTCTCACTGCTGTGCTAATTTATTGGTCCCTTAGCACGGTGGTTCTCAGCAAGGGGTACGTGTGCCCCTCGGGATCTTCCAGGGGGTATGTCAACTCATCTAGATATTTGCCTAGTTTTACAACAGGCTACATAAAAAGAACTAGCAAAGTAAGTAGAAATTAAAATTTCATATGATGACCTGCTTATACTGCTCTATATACTACTATACACTGAAATGTAAAAATATTTATATTTCAGTGGATTTATTTTATAGTTACAGGTCTGTCGCATCTTATGCGCATTTAACATGTGCGATTTCAGCTTTGCGCGGTCGGAGGGAAAAAAAACAAATGGCAATTCCACCAGCATGAGACGTGAATCTGCTGGTCCTCTAAAATATTTGGGGGGGGGGAAGGCGGCTTGACAGCAACAGCATGTCTTTAGGCCTGTGATAAGGTTCTCCCCTATAACACTGTAACCCTGGAGGGTTGGCAAAAAAAAAAAAAACAGTTTAAATAGTGTGTCTGCCCCGGAGTGACTGAGATGGGAGAAGCAAATCTGCTGTTCCCACTACAGTACTCAGTCCCCCTGTGCCTCTCATATTGTGCACATCCCACCGCGCTGAGTGTGTCTGTACTGTTTAAAGAGACAGTACATATTTTTCATACTGTATAACATGGCTCCTAAACGCAAGGCACCTACTGGTGCTCAACCGAAGAAACAGCGATGTGTTCCAACGCTGGAGGAAAAACTGGCTGTGTTGGACTTATTGAGAGACGGTATGTCCATCGCCAACATGGCATGTAAATACGGCCGCAATGAATCTAGCATCCGTGCCACCAAGATTCGAGAGACAGAAATTCGTCAAGCCGTGGCATCAAGTGCTCCAGTAACTGCTAAGGTGATGAGCCAAGTGCGTGATAAGACTTTAGGGAAGACTGAAAAGGCATTAAACTTATGGCTGGAAGACATGAACTGTAAACGTGTGCCTATCAATGGCAACATGTTGCGAGAAAAGGCTCTTAGCATCTATGCACTGTTCAAACCTCCCACCGAAGAGGGACAGCTTTGTGATAAGAAGGAATTCAAAGCCAGCCAAGGTTGGCTTAACAGTTTTAGGAACCGCTTCAACCTCAAAAATGTGCAGACTACTGGTGAAGCTGCATCTGCCAATGAGGAGGCAGCAAAAGCCTACCCCGAACAATTAAAGAAAATCATAGAGGAAAGGGACTATCTTCCAGAACAAGTTTTTAATGCTGACGAGACTGGGCTCTTCTGGAAAAAAATGCCCAACCGCACTTACATTTTGAAATCAGAAAGACAAGCCCCTGGCTTCAAAGCAGCTAAAGACCGTGTGACTGTGTTGCTTTGTGGAAATGCGTCTGGGCATTTAATAAAGCTGGGCTTGCTCTACAGGGCAGCAAATCCCCGTGACCTAAAAGGCAAGAACAAAAATCTCCTGCCTATGTTCTGGCAATCAAATAAAAAGGCTTTGGTGATGGCAGCATTATTTCTGGATTAATTCCACAAGTGTTTCATTCTGGAGGTCAAGCAGTACCTTAAAGAGAAAGGACTTGACTTTAAAGTGTTGCTGATCGTAGACAATGCTCCTGGCCACCCTGCGGCACTCCAGTTTGCGCATAACGACGTTGAAGTCGTCTTTCTCCCCCACAATACCACCTCCATCCTCCAACCTCTCGACCAAGGCGTCATTAGCTGTTTCAAGGCCATGTGCACAAGGCTTACATTCTCACGGATCCTTACCGCTATGGATGCTGATCCCAATGTTAAGGTGATGGAGTGTTGGAAGTCCTTCAACATTGCTGATTGCATCACTTATATTAAACAGGCAATGGATGCAATCAAGCCTGAAACAGTCAATGCATGTTGGTGAAACCTATGGGAAGACTGTGTGAATGATTTTAAGGATTTCCCAACCATTGACAAAGAAGTGCAACTCATTGTTCAGGTGGCCAGGCAAGTGGGTGGTGATGGCTTCGTCGACATCCTTGAGGAAGAAATTGAGGAATTAATTGAGCGCCATAGAGAAACATTGACTAACAAAGAGTTAGAGGAACTGATAAAATCATCTACAGAAGACGAAGATGACGACGAACAGGAAGAGCCAGCAACTTGGAATCTTCACAAATTTTCTGAAGTGTTCCAAGCGGCGAAACACTTGAATGATTTAATTTCTGAATATGATCCTTCTATAGAACAAAGCCTCAAAATCACACGTAGTATTACGGATGATTTGAGACCGTATCAAGAAATGTTTGAGGAGCTCATGAGACAACAGTGACGTTGCAAATCGCCATGTTTTTAAAGAAAAAACAACCAGCAGCAGCAGAGCCTACACAATCAACTTCTCGAGCTGAACCAGAGCCAACCACTTCGTCTACGACTCGCTCTCTGTCACCCAAGCCTGGCCCATCGTCTCCTGGATCGACATCAAGCCCTGACGACTCAATGATAGTGTTGTCAGGGGAAGAGGAAGACTGATCATTGGAGTGTCTACAGTACAAGACTAGCAAGAATATGCAGGATGACTGGTGACTGTTCAGGTTTACAGTACTGTACTGTTTTCATTTTTTATTCTTTCATTCTTCGTCTCTGTTATGTTATTAAAAATACTTTAAAATTATATTTTGCATATGTAGTCTTTATTATATACTGTATTGTACATTGCTGTATACAATACATAGTACTGTACAGGGTTGTATACACAAAATTGTACTTTATGGGTGATTTAAGGGATTTTCAAGGGTCATTTTGACTATACGCGGTTTTCGCTTTACGCGCTGACCGCGGAACGTAACCCCAGCGTAAGATGAGACAGACCTGTATATGGTAAAAATGAGAAAGTAAGCAACTCTTCAGTAATAGCATGCTGTGACTACTTTTATATTTTTATGTCTGATTTTCTAAGCAAGTAATTTTTAAGTGAGGTGAAACTTGAGGTATGCAAGACAAATCAGATTCCTGAAAGGGGTACAATATGGAAAGGTTGAGAGCCACTGCATTAGCAGTTTGAAACACTTTTCACAATTAAAGCCAGCTACAGCTTCGCAATTAAATTTACACACAAATTTTTTTATCATTTCAACATGTGTACCCACCATTTAAGCAGACATCTAACAAGAGACCCATTAGCTTCACTGTTGGTGGCACCCACCAGGCCTTTTAACTCCTATTTAAATTCTACACCTCTTATCACTTCTCTTGGTTTTTTTCAATAAGCAAAAAAAAAGTCAGCAATCTGATAGGACTTTTTTAAACATTGGCATTGAAAAGCAAGGGAAATGAGACCACCTCTTGTGAAAGATCTTCCCCGCTCCCATCTATCTATCCATCTCTCTTTGATGACTGTAGAGTATTCTCTTAAAAATTATTTCTATAAAGCTCTGTAAAGACTACAATGTAAAGTAGTTCATATTGTATATTTAGAGAGGGTCAGCATATGTCAGATTTAGCCTTGTGTATCAAACAATGCAAGAGATGTGATACCGTAAATACCATTGTATACACAGCATAGGGAGTACAAAACTAAGTACAGTTAAAGAGAAATGCTCAGAGAGAACTGTAGCTAGGATTCGTAATTTGTGCACTACAACAATGGTGGATTAGCCACTGGGCCAATGGGGCCTGTGCCCAGGGGCCCCGGCCAATTGGGGCACCCCGCACCCTGACCCGCCCGACACTCCTGCCAGGGAGCAAGGTCAGGGCATGGGGGCTTGCTGCGCTCCTGCCGGGGAGTAGGGCAAGCCCCTACACCCTGACCCCACTCCCGGCAGGAGCGCCAGGCAGGCAGGGCAGGGCAAGACTCCGCTCCGTGGCAGGCGCGCCGGGGTACTGGAGGTGGAAGGGGTGGGGAAGGGCCCCCACTTACTCTGGCCCAAGGCCCCACAAACCCCTAATCCGCCTCTGCACTACAGGACCTCACCCATTTTTTTCTTGTCATATAGTCTGTGCCTATGAGCAGGCTTGCTTTTGAGTCTAGCGATTAGAACAGGAGATTAGGAGATAAGAGACCAGATTTTATTCCTGAGTCTTCTACTGACTTCATGTATGGCCTTGGGCAAGCTACTTCACCTTGCTGTGTCCCGGTTTCCATATTTAAGCAAGATACATTAATCTTCCTTGAATATGTGTGAGAATAACTTTGGTAAAGTGCTTTGATCTTTGCAGACTCCAGGTGCTATCAAGAGTGCAGCATACTATCATTATGATTCAGCTGACTCCACCACTTTTCAGGAGAGAGGCACAGTCCTATGGAGCACAACTGGGGCAGAGGTCCAGGTGCCAGAATGTCCTTAATTTTTTTCCATTAAAGTATCTGAAAACATCCACGGCAAGAAATGTAACTCGCCAGCAAGGAAAGGTACAGTGCGTGTGTGGGGATGGCCTACTGAAAAAGGGAGCGAGGGTCAAGAGGAAACAACTGTTTGCATACAGCTAAATACTGACACCTTTTATATGTGCACATGTGAGTAAATTCAGTGGGACTACTCACGTTTATATTTGAAGTATCAGGTCATTATTAAATTAAGCTTTGCTACCACAGTGGTATTATTCTCCTTATTTTAAGATGAGGAATCTGAGGCACAGAACAAATTTACCCAAGGCCATACTGCTCGTCAGTGACAGAGCCAAGAATAAATCCTAATTCCAAGTACCCTATTCTAACCACTGACTGCCTCAATCTATGGTGCATTCCGTTGGAACCCACACTCTGTCACCACTCGTTTATGTTCATCAGTTAAGCTCCCAAAGAGTGCTTGGAAAAGTGAAAGATAAATATATGTTAAATAAATGCTAGCAACAGCTCAAATGTTTAGCACAGCATATGTGATGTTACGTTTTGCCGTGAACCAAGGGAGACCAATCCTGCAACTAAATGCATAATTTTCTGACTTGGTAAAGATTTACATTAAATGCACAGACAGAAAAAAATACCTGGTGAGCTCTTCTTTAATCTTCAAGGGTTCATGTGGGTAGAATTTCACTCTAAAGCACATGGTATATGGTGGATGAGCTGAAACATTATAAAAAAAAATAAAAGGCATGAGAACAGCAGCAAAGATCACCACCTCAATCACACTCCAGGAGAAGCTTTCAACGTTCTTACAAAATAGCCCGTGAGATGATTAGCTCTGCAATATCAGGCAGCGCACCAAACAAAAACAAAAAATAAAAAAACTCAATGAAACATATGACAGGAAAGCCCAAAGCATATGCAGGATCCAGCCAAACTATGCAAATCAATTATTACATGGTTTTGAACCTCACAGTATTTATTGCTCAACCCATGCAGTGGAATAAAATGTAATTGTTTTTCATGTCAACTAACATAGTAAATCGGAAGCTTTAATCTCCTATCTTGTTGCAGTGAAGTGCAAATATGTCATGTATAACTGTTTTTCCTGCTAATGGTAATGCCTAGATTACAAAACAGAACAAGCCATTCATTGAATTTCATTTGTATATTTTAAGAGTGTCTGCAAACAACTTACCTGTATCTGACAGTTTTGTAATTAGAGTGCATCATCACTATCAGATAATCAAATCTCAAACTGAATTACTGTATCAGCAATGGGGTTTGATTAAGTTTAATGTTTTAATCTCTCTAAAGATGATATATGCAGTGCTTAATTACTCCAGTAAAATTACAGTAACAATCTATATCTATTTCACTGAGCTGATATTTCAGCTGTCATTCTAGTATTTGCCTAGTATACACACACAGATATATATATACACATATACACACACACTAATATATATATTGTATATTAATGAACATAGCTTTATACTTTCTTATTTCATGCCTTAACACAGCAGCAGGGAGATTCTGAAGTTCTATTCCAATAATGTAGTTTCCAGTGAACACTTAAGTGTAACTGCAGCCCAGAGAGGCCTATTATCTAGTAAGTATCCTCTTCTGATAATCATGCTAGGGTGAGAGAACCATGAGAGCAGAGCACTACTAATGTGAAAGTAAGAGACCATGACTTATTCAGTCAGGAGGAATCACCACAGATTTTATATATAGATAGTGTGACAAAGTTCTGTCCTTGACTCCGTGGGTCCTACGTTTCCTGATGGATTTTTGCTAGCCTCAGAGGCTCACTGTGACCCTCCACATAGCCCTTCTCTCTCTAGAGGCAAGGGTCACAGTCTACTGAGCCATTTTCATCATAAGCCAGCAAGGGAGGGGAGGAGAAACAACCCTCCCTCACACAGTCTCTGTTGTCTCCCAGTATCAGTGATTACTGGGAGGGGGGAGCCCGAGCCCGCCCTCTACTCCAGGCTCCAGCCCAGGGACCCTAAACTTAGCAGCTATGAAAGCTGACTTTTTGGAAATAGGGCATGTACAATTCCCTGGGCTACTTCCCCATAGCAGCCCCCACTCAATATCTTCTTCACAATTACCTCAGGGCCTCCTTCCTTGCACCTGATATGGATTCGTACTACTTCGTTCCTCCAACAGCACAGCTCCCTCCTATAGCTCCTGACACCCACCCCGCACTGACTAACTGAGAGGCTTTTAACTAGTTCCAGCCAGTCCTTAATGGCTTCAGGTGTCCCAATCAATCTAGCTGTCTCTTCTGTCTTCTAGAAGGATCTTAATTGGCCCCAGGTGACTTGATTAACCTGGAGCAACTGCCATTTGGTTATCATGGTACCAGGGATTTGTTTAGCCTGGGGCTAACATACCTGTTCCTCACTACTTTACTGTAGCCATCTGGCCTTGCCCCATCACAATAGATATAGATATAGGCTGTCAAGCGATTAAAAATTAATCCTGCTGTTAAACAATAACAGAATACCATTTATTTAAATATTTGTTGATGTTTTTGACATTTTGAAATATATTGATTTCAGTTACAACACACAATACAAAGTGTACAGTCTTCACTTTATTTTTAACTAAATATTTGCACTGTAAAAAACAAAAGAAATAGTATTTTTCACTTCACCTAATACAAGTACTGTAGTGCAATCTCTTTATCATGGAAGTGCAACTTACAAACATAGAATTATGTACAAAAAACTACATTCAAAAATAAAGCAATGTAAAACTTTAGAGCCTACAAGTCCAATCAGTCCTACTTCTTGTTCAGCCAATTGCTCAGACAACCACGTTTGTTTACATTTGCAGAAGATAATGCTGCCTGCTTCTTGTTTACAATGTCACCTGAAAGCGAGAACAGGAATTTGCATGGCACTGTTGTTACCCCCGGCGCTGCAAAATATTTAGATGCCAGATGTGCTAAAGATTCATATGTCCCTTCATGCTTCAACCACCATTACCAAGAACATGTATCCATGCTGATGACTGGTTCTGCTCAATAACGATCCAAAGCAGAGCAGACAGACATGTTCATTTTCATCATCTGAGTCAGATGCCACCAGCAGAAAGCTGATTTTCTTTTTTGGTGGTTTGGGTTCTGTAGTTTCCACATCAGAATGTTGCTCTTATAAGACTTCTGAAAGCATGCGCCACATCTCGTCTATCTCAGATTTTGGAAGGCAATTCAGATTCTTAAATCTTGGATCAAGTGCTGTAGCTATCTATAGAAATTTCACATTGGTATCTTCTTTGCATTTTGTCAAATTTGCATTGAAAGTGTTCTTCAAATGAACATGTGCTCGGTTATCATCCAAGACTGCTATAACATGAAATATATGGCAGAATGCGGGTAAAACAGAGCAGGAGACATATAATTCTCCCCCAAGGAGTTCAGTCACAAAATGTAATTAACTCATCATTTTTTTAACGAGCATCATCAGCATGGAAGCATGTCCCCTGGAACGATGGCCGAAGCATGAAGCAGTATATGAATCTTTAGCACATCTGGCACGCAAATATCTTGCGACACCAGCTACACAATGCCATGCGAACACGTGTTCTCACTTTCAGGTGACACTGTAATTAAGAATGGGGCAGCATTATCTCCCATAAATGTAAACAAACTTGTTTCTCTTTAGCGATTGGCTGAACAAGAAGTAGGACTGAGTGGACTTGTAGGCTCTAAAGTTTTACATTGTTTTGTTTTTGAGTGCAGTTATGCAGGGCTGCCCAGAGGGGGGCAAGTGGGGTAATTTGCCCTAGGCCCCACAGGGGCCCCCACGAGAGTTTTCAGGGGCCCCCATGAGAGTTTTCAGCAGGTCCTTCAGTGCCGCCGAACACACCCGGAGCGAGTGAAGGACCCGCTGCCGAAGACTCAGAGCTTCTTCCGCTCCGGGTCTTCGGTGGCAATTTGGCAGCGAGGGCTTCTTCCACTCCGGGTCTTCGGCGGCAATTTGGCGGCAAGGGCTCCTTCCACTCTGGGTCTTCGGCGGCAATTTGGCGGCGAGGGCTCCTTCCACTCTGGGTCTTCGGCGGCAGTTCGGCAGCAGGTCCTTCACTCGCTCGGGGACCCGCCGCCGAAGTGCCCCGAAGACCTGGAGCGGAAGGACCCCCACCGCTGAAGACCCCAAGCCCCCTGTATCCTCTGGGAGGCCCTGCAGTTATGTAACAAAAAAAACTAAATTTGTAAGTTGCATTTTCATGATAAAGAGATTGTACTTCAGTACTTGTATGAGGTGAACTGTCCTATGATCCTAATTACAGTGTTGTTCAGACGAATTTGGCCCTATCTATCCAATCCCAGGAAAGTGATTACAAGATAACCTTAGATTCAAAGAAATATAGGATATTAGGTACAGTACTCTCTTTCCCCCCCCCCATTGATAAACGAGATAGAATCAATCAACATTTTTTTGGGGGGGGGACTCATACAAGTTCTCTTTCCCCCATTTTACTTTTAAAATAATTGTAAACCTAGTAAATCCTAGTAAACAATCTTTTAATTGTAAGTGATTAGCTAGTAGAGTCCTCATTTTGAGTATATTACTGCACTGAAGTCAACAGCAAGAAAAAATAATCCTCTCTCTCACACATTCCTATACATTTTATGACAGCAGGCAAGACCACAAGAACAGCAACAAACATTACTGGTTCAAGGGAAACATGATTATCAAGCTTGCCAGTCACCTTCCTAAAACAGAATTACGTTCAACCAATCACTCAAACATTAAAAGTGGAAACAGTAACAAATAAAACAGAACTTCATTTTCAAAAGAAAATTTCTCCACCAAAAAAAAAAACCCCAAGGAAAATATAATTGGGTTTATAGTAGCTATAAGGCTTTTCTTTTAGAGCAGTCCTTTATCTGTCAGATAAAGACCAGCTGCTGTACAAAAAATGCCCTAAGGCTTTGTCATGATTTCCTCCTATGAGGCTTTGCCAAATTGCTTAAATATATTCATAATTATAATTATTTCAAAGGATTTTAGCACAAAGAATTGCATTGGGTGCAACTTCCTAACAATGAGGTTATTAATTCACCAGTTTATATACTAACAGAACTCGGGAGGTGAAGAAACTAAATGGAATAAAACCCACTTGAATTACACCATACATTGAAACTGTCAGCTGCAGTAAATCAAGAAACAAATTCCATGTGAAGGAACTTTACACATTACCTGGCATGTTTCCAGGCAATTCACTGTAATGTTTTTACACCGCTACCTCGATATAACACGACCCGATATAACACGAATTCGGATATAACACGGTAAAGCAGTGCTCCAGGGGTGCGGGGCTGCGCACTCCAGTGGATCAAAGCAAGTTCAATATAACGTGGTTCCACCTATAACACGGTAAGATTTTTTGGCTCCCGAGGACAGCTTTATATCGAGCTAGAGGTGTATTTATACCCAGTTGCAGACTATACTATGTGCTAAAGCAACACTTAATTGTAAGAAGTTCTTAATTGAAACTAGGCATCAAACATGTTTTCTAGAATAATGAGTGCCTTGTGTCCTTTCAGCACACACACTGGTGTATGAGTATCTGTCTAAAAAATGTTTCAGAACAAACCCACCTGAACAGCTCTGCTCTTCAAATACAAGGCAGAGAGAGTTGACTAGACAGTTTCAGGAGAATGATTTGCCTAAAAAAAACTATACACTCACTTCTTCAGTCAC